TTGCAAACCTCCAGAAACACTTCTCGTTGGTAAGCGTTCAACTGCTAGGACACAGAATATGACTAGGGAATAAAAGGTTTCATCGATTCTGCCTATGGAGGCTGCGGACTTGGGCAAGTACTTGATGGACGAACGCTGCGTAATGATGTTGTTTGAGTGGCTGATCGCCGCTGCCCCTAGCAAGGAACAAGGATGGCCATTTACCACCAATTTCACCAATTTCAGGGATAAGAATTTTTAAAAGATGAAGCTGCCAGTGCCGAAACTATCGCTGGTGGGAAAAATAACAAGTTGAATATTCTGCAAATATGGAACTTAACTGCCAAACTTTCGTGTGGAATTTACAAGAATCTGAAAAAAATCGTTCCTCATGAATTTGAGAGTTGCAACCATTTGGATCCGTCCCTTTTGTGCTTGTGCTGACGCTTCAATGATAATCTGCAGACCCGTGTACATTTTATGACCTGTTACAAACAGAAATTGGCTTTTGTTTAGCGAGCATGTATTGGCATTTTGCAAAATCATTTTCTTTTAGGCCCCGCTGAAAGGCTCTTTGGTGAATCCTTTTACGTTTCGATGAAAAAAGCGTTGAAAGATACCGGAGTTATCTGTGTTCAAGGTTTTCTTGTTTATGTTTCATTTTATTTCAAGCTCTTATTTTGCATTTTCGCTTCTTTCCAAGATTCTTTGTATAACCAACGAGATAGTTGAACTGAGATAGTTACTCAGAGTCAGTCATTTTACATGTTTTGAGCTTTGTTTGGAAATTTAAATTTTTAATTGCTTTTTAAGGAAGACTTATTTGCTTTGTAAAAGGTTTAAGTGCTTTGTAGGTGGTTAACTCCTTGTTTGCCGGCCCCTTTAATCGATAAATTTGTCAAAAGAACACATTATGTAATTTTCAGGCGAATCTTTCTGGATCGATCTCCCGCTTATCAAAGAAATATTATCGTTCAGTCGAAGCCATTTCCCTGTTGTCTCGTATTCGCACACTCTTGTTCCAACGTACACTACTGGAGTGATTGGATTCTTTCTATGTAGTACTAATAAGGTTGGTACCTTTTCAGTTATTTTCTTCAGATAGCAAAAATAATTGACCTATTTTGTGTTACTAGGATAAAACTACTCCACATGCCGTTTTGTCGATAAGCCCTTTTGCAAATAAGGATTTATAGCAAGGTTCTGCTGTCTAGGACAACAGCTTGTTAATGAAACTCTTACAAGATTATTCTAACATGTGCTGGGACTAGAGCCCAGAATGTAGTGACAATCACCGCCGCTTCAGTTGATTTTTAAGCTTTAACCGCGTACATATTATTTCATTCATTTCATTTCAAATGTTTATCTAGTAACGCAGTTAAAGTTTGATCTTAAATTTGCTTAATTACCTGGTTTTTTAACAGCAAAACACACATTGAAATTCTTTTGCAGGCACTCGCGTTTCTTAATAATCTCAAGGAAATTGAAACAATATTACTGCCATAATTGTCCATCAATTTGCTCCTAGGAAATAAATTTTAGAAAGCCTCGTCGTATTCTGTCAAAAGAAGAGAAATCGAGAATGAATTTGAGATATTATAATGAAGACGTTCATGAAGCTTCGTTTGTTTTTCCTTCATACGTCACAAAGGTTTGCACAAACTAGTTTTGAATGTCATTATTTGCCAATTTGAGTTATAGATATAATTTCTTTCTGATATATGATTCTATGATTCTATTATGTTGATGATTCTTTGCAATGATATATATAATTTTGATACCTCTATAACAGTATTTCAGCGCTGTTTATACCGATAGACTGCCGGTTTATCTCTTCTGATCAACGATTTTTTGCGTAAGGAATAAATCCTTTCCCTTACGATGTTTATCCTCTGCATTTGTTCTAATACACACAGATAAGTCCGCCAAGTGAAATATTGTCCGTGCATATGAAAATGGGATTGCATCCAACAGGTCGGCCGCCCCATAATGTTCTGACTACTGTCGGGAGATATAGAGCTTTGAACTCCCCGCCTTAATTTTCCGCTTTAATCTAGTCTGGGAAATTGCATTGCGTAAGAACACACTCAAGATTTCGATCACAAGTAAACAAGAACAGGCTCTTCAAATCTTCGTAAATTTGCTTTCTTCCCTTTATAATGATTCAAAGGAGTAACAGGGCGTTACGTCTTTTAATAAAACGCATTTTGCATTGCAGGAATTGAATTTATGAGATGAACAAAAAAGACCAAGCTCAACAACGACATTTCTTGTAATTCTTCGTAGTGATGAACTTTTGAATAACCGTATTATAACTGCGTATGCAAATTTTATCCGCTGCTAATCTTTTATTTGTGTATTTTTGCAACTTGATATATTGATGTGAGTTGAATGTTGTTACTTGAAACAAAGAAAACGGATAAATGTCAGCGGCAGTTTTGCATTCTTCAATTTCAGGGCATGCCCTGGCATCTTCTTTTTCTATTGAGCCTTGAATATTTCCTATTAAATTTTTGCAAGGCGTCTTTTGTGTCGAAATATCTACTTCTAATCTCTTCAAGTGCAGCTTCCAGTATTCGAATTCGTTCACTCATTGTAAACAGCGAACTTTTAAAGTCCAAATAATATTTTCCGGTCGGCGTTTCTGTTATTTCCCAGTCCTTTAGTAGTTGCATCCTCTCTTCGCTACACTCTTCATTTGAGTTTTTTTTCTCGTCATCACTGTCACCTGTTTCCTCTGAGTTTACCTTTTCATAATTTTTGTTATCGTGTTCGCTATTATATCTTGATAATGCATCTTTATGTAAATTGTTTTCTGTGTTTCTCTCTTCGAATGAACCCATTTTTATCAAGTGAAGATAATCATTTTTTACAGTACTTATTCTTTCAAAAGCAATTTTATCTCTTGCTACTGATGTTTGCGAACGAGATCCCTCCGCGCTCAAGCAATACTCAGATAAACTGTAGCCTCCATTGCCCGTCGTTCCGTAGTACAGCGACGAGGATGACTGTTGTTCTGAATGCAGTGTTGTAGCCTCATTGATGCATGTTCCCCTTTGGCTACCTTCCCTTTGGCTACCCTTCCTTTGGCTACCCTCCCTTTGGCTACCCTCTCTTTGGCTACCCTCCCTTTGGCTACAGCAAATGCCTTCAGCTAGCCGTTTCCTGCCATTCTTGCCCACCTCGTTGCTACCATTGTTATCATGACCAAATTCTGCCTCCGTAGTTTTCAACGGACAGGACTCCCCGTCGCCGCAGTAACTAAGGCAAAATTCACACAGTTCCTGTATGCAGTTTTCCGGTTCAAGGTTGCTACCCAGTTCCTTTTCAGTTATCTTCCAGTTTCCTCTGTTGCTTCTTTTCTCATGTTGCTGCACTGCAGATGCCAATATTGACAATTTATTCATGGCGAAGTAGGATAATCCGATCGTATTCTTAGTAGAGTAACCAAACATTCACAGAGTTGGAATAAATTGAATTGGCCTTGCACCGCGACCACCAGACCTGCCCTGTTCATGAGCAGTCATTCATCCACTTCCATTGCCTTTGCACAACAGGTTTTCCCGAGCATAACAGGTGCGTCCAATGGCTTTGTTCAAGACACCATTCAAGTGATTTTAGTGAAGCGCTGAATTTTGTTAGTGATTTCAAAAGCTACCTTCAGCGATATGGATGAATTTTGTTTTAGAGATTTGCAAAAAAGTGTGTTGAGTTTCGATCTTTTAATGGCGTTTCGTTCGTGAAATGTGAAGTGTTAAAAATGTTTGACCAATTATAACCGAGCATTCAGTTTCTTGAAAACCTTTTTTTTGGAATGCAATTTGGACAAAATTTCAGACACATTTCATCGCTTTTTATTGTTTTGCATCAAAGAATGGTATTTAGTAACATCAGTCCTTTGGTTTAAATGATCTTGCAGAGTGGGCTACAGGCCAAAACATTCCATTAGTTCTCAAACGTGCAGCTTACAGACGTCGGGAAAGTGTCAAATGACGGATTGAGAACTAAACCACTGCGGTGGCGCAATTGATGAACACCTTTGCTAGAGCATGAAGAATGGAGTTGAAGGCACACCAGACATTGCCTGACATCACCCACTAGAATTTTTTAATTTTTCAAATGCATGCTATTTCTTTTTTAATCCTTGTCTCTTTTGATCATGCATTTGTATGTCATTATGATGGTTTCTTGCTCTACTTACAAGACCCTTCTTAGTAACTTTTGTCAGTTCACTAATTTTTAGCCCCTTTGGTACACTGTCATCTTCATACTCAATACGAAAGAAATACTCATGTCGAAGGTATTTCTTTTTAACATAAATTGTTTTTTATAAAAAGAATTTAATTATGCTTCTCAATCTTTTCATCAATTCAAGAAGACTCTACCCAAATGGTCAGATTTGTGACATTTTTTCCAACTAGTTGGGCAACTTCCCGGACGAGCATTTTGCGACAGCAATCGAAAACAGCATATATGTAATTTAATAAATCAGCATGAAATTGTTTCATGTTGACATTTTCCTGCCAAGTATCTAATTTCTTGTTCGTTTTTTATTATGTCGCATGTTGTCAGAGTTTTAGTTAGGTGAAGGACAACCGAGTAATTTTCCCTTTTATTTCACCGCTTAGTGAATGGCAGAAGTCTTTCAGAAGCTCTGCCTGGTTGAACGTCAACTATGTGTCTGTGTATCCACACGTGTTTTCGTTGAATCCTCGGATTTTGCAACCAAAAGAACCTTATGTGTGGGCAACGCGGAGCTGTGATACGTTTGAGCTCATTTATATAGATATAAATGATCAGTGGATACACAGTGCCAGATGTTATTTTCCTACGACAAATGTTACATTTCCCACTCTCCCCTTTATCTATCTGTTAGTTTATTTGTAATGCTACATTTATGTATTCTATCCCTTCTTGAATATATCTAACTTTTCGTGATAATGATAAATAGGTAGTTTGATTTTCAGCTACAAAAACCTGTAGCTGATACTATGATGTTTTTATCTCAACAATAGCCGAATGTTTTAATTTAGATGCTCATCTTGAAGGTAAAATGCATACTATAAAAGATTTATCTTGTAGGAACAGAAATGAAAATTGCCCCGGGTTGTTTTATGTGAAAAGATCCACATGTTCACTTTGAAATCTGAATATGAATAAGCCTCAGTTCACTGAATTTTTAATGGTTGGTGTCTTTAAGAGACTTTGTGTTTCCCTCAGTCAGTCACTTTAACAGAAAATGTGCAACGCAATTTGTGTTCTCAGAAAACTTCTCGACAGCAAATAGAACATGGTTTGTTTTCAGTTGGCGTAGCACCTCGTCCAAAGAGGTAAGTGATTGAATTATATAGGCTTGACGATTACATCGCCATTTGACACATATAAATTGTAAGTAATAAAATACTGAGAATTGTTTTCTTCCTTGCTACGTCTATGTCACAAGAATTCTTTGTAGAGATAAACAGATACTCATCCAAATGGAGCAAATTAATATCATATTACAGTCAAACACTCTCAAATCGAGTTTACGGCCAGTTCTTTGGCCAAAACAGACGACCTTCCTGTCCCTAAAAATGGCTTACCTTTCAACATGGCCGTTCTTGTACCGAACTTTAAGTTGAAAAATAGCCAACTTTCTCGGTTGCAATTTGTTCTTAGAGGTGAAATCACTCTCAACTGATAGTGGATAGCTAGAAGAACGCGAAAATTTGGCTGATGTTTGTCCACGGGGAACTTATTTTTGATACACTGACCCTCGATTTTCTTAAAAAGCTCAATTTCGCAAGTTTTTCAGAGGGCATATTTTTTTGGAGAACCGTAGATTTTAAGTCGGAACTTGCAAATTCCTCTAGAATATTGAGTTGTCTTTCCAACGAATGTCGATTGAAGATCGTATGGTGATTTTGAGAAAAGTTATTTTGATACTTCAATACGCAAGTCTTTACTAACAAATCTTTCGAAATTTCCAGTTTCCAAATGCTAAATACCTCTTCCATAAACAATCCTTGAATATGTTGTTAAAACAAAAATAAACTTAACATTTCTTTTAAACTAAAAGCTTTTGATGACACTTTGCACAGCGTTTTCCGTGCGAATCGTCAGAGCGAATCGGTAGAATCAATAAGTAAATAAGTAAACGCAACTGTCCATGATTTACTGAAAATCAATATGTTTTTCTAAAATCCTTATTATCTAGCAAAAATCTTGATATTTAAAAGTTTGATAATCTACGTGCACTCTCGGAACGTTGAACGCGTAAGTGCACGAGACTTGAGAACTGTGTCTCCGGAATACCAAACCTTGTAGAACAATTGACAAAATGAAGCCAGGGACATCCGCAAGCGTTCAAGTACATTTGTTCAGAAGTCACGGATTCAACAAACCTATGTTCTAGGCAGACGTGATTTCTTTGCGGCTAGATAACACCATCTCCTCTGTAGCTATGTGCAAACTTTTCTAACCTGTAAATGAAACAACGGCATGGACATATTCTAAAAGTAAATTGGTACTCTCTACATTCTTCCCTGCTTGTGAAATCCTGTTTTTGTTTGCTGTGAGCTCGCTAAAAAACTTTTTAAATCGATCATAGCTTCTATGCCTTCGTGTGAATCTCATCCGTTGCTGAGCTTTTTCCAGTGTACGTCATTTATTAATACCTCCATACGAAGTGTTTTTATTGTCACTTCTGTATCTGTTTGATGGAAAATGTGTCAATCATCAATTTGAATTTAGTCCTCTTCTCTCTGTTCAAAAAGTGTTTTACCTTTAAATTTCTGTTTGATTTCTTTTAGACTATTCTCATTGTGTTGCTACGACCAAAAGAAGAGATTGTGTCAGTTCTTCCAACGAAATGATTGCGGCGCGAGGCGTCAGGGTTGTAAGAGGTGAGGGATGGAGTTACAATGACCAAGATGGCGGAGAAGGAACTGTTGGAACAATCATTCATGTCAGAAGCGATCTGCAAAGGCTGCTGGTGACTGTCATTTGGGACAGTGGGCTCAAAGGTTTCTATGAAATCGATGACAAAAGACCAGGGACGATTGTTGCTCATGATGCCAGACAAAGTGGTAAGAGTTGGCTCTTGTCAATTTTCTTTTGAGACAACGTGATCTTGCTGTTCGGTTTAAGAAGCACAAGACGGCATGGATGTCTATAACCTCCCGTTTTTAGATCTTTTTCAATAAGAAGCTTGGGTCAACTTATCAATCATTTCATTTAATCTTTTCATATTTACACATGTGACAGATATAGATAATAAAGAAATTGAGAGGAACATTTTCACAACCGTAAGAAACAACGTATTTGTGACAGTAAGTGACAGAAAGCATTCGTGACAGTAAGTGACACAACATATTCATGACAGTAAGTGACAACACGTAATCTTGACTGTAAGAGACAGCATGTTTCTGAGAGTAAGTGACACAACGTATTCGTGAAAAAAAGTGACACAACGCATTGATGACAGTAAATGACAGAACCTATTCATGACGGTATGTGACAACACGTCTTTTTGACAGTAAGAGGAGCAATGTATTCGACAAATTTCTAGGCGTAACCTAGTTATTTTTATTTAATGTTACTCGATGACATAATCACGTGTTCTAGTTACTTTTTGCGATCTGCATGACCGAAGGGGCAGTTCTCACAGAGAGGGAGTCCTTTTTTCTTTTATTGGGACACTGGCTTATACTTATTCACTGTTTAATGATTATTTACTTATTAACTGATGTATAGTCCCCTTTACTGTTCAAGTCTTTGCAATAGTCCCATTGGCTTGCCTTTACTTTTTAGCAGTTCCAATAACTTGTTCATGCCTTGTCTCATTGGCTGGCTTTTCATTTTGCAGTTATCTTATGTGCTAGTGTGTAAACAGGTTCAAACACTGCCTTCCGATCACTGCTACTTTCAAAGCCGGTTGAAATACGTTAATCAATTTCAATTTTCGTGCCTCGATTTTAGGGGAAAAACACAATTGTAAGTGTTATGAGTGCAGTGAGGTTATCATCGGCACCATATGGAACTGTCTCATCTGCACCTCCATTGTTCTCTGCGTCACTTGCTACATGAATAACAAACACGAACTTGCGCACCCATTCAGAAGAAAATCCGGTCACAAAGGCTGCTGGTTAGTATTTCTGCTTCGAATATTTTTTCTTGCTCTATTGGTTGTTATACATGCTGGCTCCTTTGTTAAAGAAGGTCAAGGCTCAAGGTCGAAGTTTGCGACATCATTGGTCAACTCTTTGACCTTTGACCTTTGAAGTGTACAGTATTACTGAGCTGTCAGCATTGCTTGTAGCTAGTTTTTTGTTTACATTAATTTTTTTGCACTGAAGCTACTTTTGTATTTTGTACTGAAGCTGTTTTCGATAATTCATGTCTGATACGAAGGTAGATTTAACCAATAAGATGTGCCTACCTCCCGGTTGATATATTTCATTACTGCCAGTAATTTATTATCACTTCAGGGTCAGTCTTCCAGAAAGAATAAATTCTACTGAAGTCATGTCAAAGGGTCTCTTTCCTGGTGCCACGGTTGAATGCACCTCAACGTTACGCCAAACGGTACTCCGAAGTACCTTCCAGTCCTTGGATGACAACTTTGGCAGAATCATCAACTACGAGAGTTGCATTGGCAATTCCTTAAGTGCTGTTTGTGTTGTTTGGAATCAGAGTCTTAAGAAAACTGTTTATCAACTTGGTAGAGACGGCAAGGTTGTTTCTTGTTTCTTCTGTATCTTTGACACTTTAATACATTGTATTCCCGGAATTGCCTGTTAATGCAATGTGAAAATACTTAGAATATCCTTAAACCTCATAGAAAGAGCTATTCAAATCATTCATCTTCTCAGTTTCAAGCTAATTATGAAACAGAGGTTGATTATCGGCCATCTGTACATCTGCTTTGATTCCTAACTTATAAACATTGTAAAAGTAGTATCAAGGTTTGTGCTTTTAATGTTGATTATTTGTTGTTGGAACAAAAACTGAAAGAATAAGCTTTCTTTCTAATCAGGTTGAATTGAGATGTACAGTCGCAGGCTACGGTCCTACTTTCTATAAAGGTCACCTGCCAAAGATAGTGAAGCCGCCAGAAATAAACACTCGGTCGCGCGGCTACACGACTAGTCAGATTCCGCTTCACCGCAGTTTACAATATAGCTCATTGCAAGCCTGTCAGACTTCTTACGTGAAGCCTGAAGACGATGTTTACGAAAATAGAAATGCCAATTTTTACTCGCATGTTCTGAGTTCGCAGGGGGCGAGTGGACAAGGGCAAATGACAGGAAACCATAGGTACACAAAGTCTTCAACTGTTGACACAAAATCGTTTAAAGTTGCCAGTGAGAATAACAATAAAGCTATTGAGCGATTTGCCGAAGTATCTTCAAACCTCAATAGATCATCAACTCCCATGCAAGATGACTGGCGACTGTCTTCAAAGCAACCATCTTCTAGAATAGATCAATGTGGTAGCAAAATACCACGTGGTGGCCGCAGCAACAATGAGGCGCAGTGTGTCAAGGCACTATGTTCTTATAATGATGGCTTGGAATTCCGCGAAAGCGAGGCTACTAGATCGTCGACTTGTCCCAATACCTTTGCTGTGGGTGAAACCGTAATTCTGAAGTCCCCGGATAAACATGTGTTAGGATTGCCTTTAAATCAGGTAGTTTCGTTTAATTCTTTTTCCAATTGAGAATTCATACCACATTTAGAAAATTGGGAATGAAGCCAGAGGAGATTTTTTCTCGGCTTTTTTTTCATTCGTCGACGTTATCCCGTAATTGGAAATCTCTAACTTTTTTGATACGTCAATTGAAATTTGCCAGTTTCAAGGTTTGTGGTAGGCGGCTATGGCCTTTCTAATTTCAAAGATTGAGCAGAAAATAGAACTATAAAGCGGGACTCTTTCAAGGCCCGCACCAATGATCCAAAACTGGGGGGGGGGGGGCATCAATGTAAAGAGAGTTTCCTCTTACCCACCACTAGCCCCAATTGTAGCAATCATTTTGCTGACACTCTGTTTTTTGCGGACTTCGGTTTTTGAATTTGTTGTAAACTAAAGGTTTATATATAAAAAACACTTAAAGCTTAGTGTAGTCTTTTATCTAGCGAAAAAGCGCGAAGGCCATGGCCCCCCTAGCCCACCTTGACCAGGTCAAAGCCAATGAGAAGGTTTACTTATTTAGGTGTCTCCTTTCCACACCGATCTACAGATTTAGGAATATTGATGCTGGCTGGATCCTGGTTGGCTTGTGAGCTTTGGTTTTCGTTAGATTTAAGACGTCTTTCATACTTTGATCGCAATGTTTTTTTGCAATGTTTAATCTTTAGACATTTAGCAGCGAGAGCTATCAGAGACTTAGGAAGGTGGGGGTCACAGGGGTTTAAGGGCACTTTAACCACACCCTTTATTCTAAGAGCCACGCCCAACTATGCAAACTTTTATTGAATAATGAAAGTATACTGTCAACCAAGATCATAACTTAAATAAAATTCTTTTCTACAATTTCCAAAAATCTGTTTTCTCTGGCAAAATCTTTTTAGTAACTTAAAGGAAATTGTTGCATATCCGAAAATGATATTTCTGCCAAAGATTCACTCATAGGAGCTAATAGATAAATCTTGAAGAACTTTTAACACATATGGAAATAGCATCTGTACAGCCCATGCATAGTGGCCATGAAAATTCTTTCTTGCAAGAATTTTCAACTTTGGGCTAATCCTTCCATCGCTCTGCCTTGAAGCAAGAAGGACGAATCCGTGACCAGGGCCACGCAAAAGGATTTGGTGACATGTGGAGATAGTGAAATAGAGGGCATTTGCTAGCCAAGCGAGCAGAAACGTTTTGAAACCATGCCCTTTAGATTAGCTCAAAATACATTTTAGAGTTTTTTGTGCAGTCATTTTCTTGCAGTTGTTGAAGACTTTTCGATATTTTTAAGGCATACTTTTGTTATGTTTGATTAAATCTATTCCCAAAGTCGAATTTATTACTTTATGAGGCCCCCTATTACCTGGAGCCCTAAGGCAATTTGTCTCTAAAAGCTATCATAATTTAAGTTTTACTCGTTCAAATAGACGTCGGGGCTCTACAAAGGTCATGCTTTGTCCTTTCTTTTTTATGATTTTATTATTAATCTCACCAGAAGCATCAATGAATTCTTTGAGTTCAAGACGATACTATCTAGCTAGCAAGTCAGATCGTATCTAGCTTTTGCGATTCGACCTCACCATGAAAGTAACACGTTCCGTTGTATGAAAAAGCACTGTGTGCATCACAGAACAAGCATCTTAAAAACTAGAAGTAAATCTTTATTAATGTTCGCATTCTTCTTGCCTCTCTTTCTCCATTAAACGCTGTTTGCGGCTACATTCTCTGCTTCGATCTACCTTCTGATGTTCATATCTTTGAAATCCATTTTCCCCTCTTGGTCTACCCATATAAGCCTTTTTCTTCCTCTGTGGGCTCTTCCAAGTTCCTGGGCTTTTCTTACCGCCTTTTGTTACGGGTTTGTCTCTATCTAATCTTAGCAGGTGACCGGTCCATCCTTTTCTTTCTTTTTTTCGGTCTATGATTCTTTCTTTCATTCTGTCTTTCTTTTATTGCGATACGATCTGACTTGCCTATGAGCAGCGCCCCCAACTTAGTCTGGCTGCCGCTTGATACGTTTTCTTTGAATGCTGTCCACCTCATTCCACGTTTATCTGCACCAAACACAGACACGACGTTTGCAAATTGAAAGTCAGATTGAATTTTTTTGAAACATTCATTGGTGGTGATTAAAGAAAGGAAATACGTTAGAGCCAAACTGACTACTCTGGGTCACAGAATAGAGAAAAGTCTTTATTCTGTGTCTGAGGATTTAAAGGAACAAATCACAACAGCCTCCAAGGACTATCGACAATGATAGATACGGTCCGGGCTCTTTGCCCTAAGAAAGTGTTCAAACACCAAAGTCATATAAATGGCAGCATTGATGTCCGAACAACAGGTTTTGAAAATTGACTAGCCCCGCCATACCTATGCCACTTTTTTACCAAAATGACGCGCTACTTGCCTAGCGTACCCACTTATCAGTCGATTTGAACATGTCCCCCCCCCCTCAAAACTTATTAGTCCCCAAATCCATCATAAGCTCTGCTGTCCCTGCCATCAATACCCTGATGTAGTCAAAGTTGTTAAGAAAAGGTTGAATATCGTCCCTATCTCATCATTTTTGCATCATTTTCATCGATGGAAAAGTCTCCTTGCTGAATGATATTTATTCTCAAATAAAAGTCAATCGACTCCCAATCCCAATTGCTAATTGTTAGAAAAGAAAAGACACCTGGAAATAGATTTTTATCAGAGACTCTGATTTGATAAATCGATACTCATATTTTCTCCAGCTTCCTAGTTCTCGAGCGCAAGATCTCTAAATGGCATTCTTTCTGTTTCAAAGTGGCAAAAATCGAATTTCAAAATAGAAGACTGTTATGAATGGTTTACAATCTTCGGAAATTGACCGTTGCTGCCTTCTTGTAAAACCCCATAAAACAGCTATTGTCTTTTTTGTTTGCCAGATCGTTCAGTCCAATTTTGTAAAACCTCGATACGCGCTGTTTTTCCTTTGTACCTCCTTAAGACCTACATCAAGCTTATCAAAAGTTTAAGCAGCGCTATGTTAGAACATCGAGCGAAATCTTTTGACGTGATTACAACTTTAAATTTATATTTATAGGTATCCTTGATTTCCACTACTTGCTTATAAAAAGTTTCTAAGTTACTACTTCATGAATTTTATTTGTTTTTTCAAGTTTTTGTAGTTTCATTTCTAAATATGTTATTTTGCATCCATTTCATATCATTTTAGCACATTCAACAGATTGGCAGAATACAGCACTTTGACAAAGACAAAGAGTTTTGTTTTGTCAACTTTGCTTCTTGCTCTTCTTTGGTAAAATTGCCAATTGGTTCGCTGTTAAAGGTCAGATTTCTTTGGAGATTTCGAGAATTTCAAAAGCAACCCCCAAAACAAAGTTGATTTCATGGTGTTGCAGAATTGCTTCTTATTTTGAAAGCTGAAGCATAATCAGCAAAAGATGTATTTTTTAATCATTTGTAAATATTGAAAAGACTCAAGCAATTTGTGTCCGTAAAATGCAAATGAGAATCAAGGATCTTTGTGCAGCAAAAAGCAATTTGTTTTTCAGTAGCTTTACCTTTGCAATGACTTAATGGTTTGTACTTAGACTTTGCGTAATGATGCAGTGACAGAGATGCATCTCAAATCTGATGAGCTGTGCAAAACACTGTTATCTCAGCTTCTGTTTGTTTGGCCGTTTTGTAAGTTCTTCTTTTTTTGAAGTGCCAATAGTATAGCTATAATGCTATATAACTATTTGCAAACTCTATAGATTTTTTATGTGATATTTGAGCTTTACTGAACGTTTAAATTAAAATGAATACTTGACATAATAATGATGCTAAACTGAAAGAAAGGAGCCACCTTGCTGCCTACTTGACGGTAACACGGAACTTTTCATGTCTGTTTTAATGCATTTGTGCACATTTATAGACTAATTAGTGTTCTATGCCAATGCTGAAAGTCACATGCCAACTAATTTGACCCATTAGATCAGTCAGCAACAAACATCCAGCCGACAGTCTGCGGTGAGATGTACTGGAGAAGATTGTGATCAAGGCTCCAAGCAGGATAAAGGAAACACCATTTTGACGAAATTTAATGTAGTAGAAGACATAAATGGAAGACATGTAATGTTTGATAAAGGGTTATCTGATGACAGTGTAGGACAACGAGATTGTCAAAGGTATGTAGAAGCTGTTTAGTTTTCCAAAAGCGGCAAAATTCCTTTCCTGATTAATGAAAAAGTTATCTTTTAAAGTAGCAACTCCTTGCTTGTCTTGCTTATTAGAAAGCCGATCCATTCTTAGATCCACTGGCGCATCCAGTCTCTCTGAGAATTCCGATGACGTTGGCCAAAGGCAAAGTGACGTCACTCGCTGTTGCCTTTGTCAAGAAAATGAATGTGACGTGAGGTTTGATCCCTGTGGTCATCTTGTTTCATGCTCTGGCTGCGCAAAGTATTTCAAAAAGTGTTTCTTTTGCAAGGTACTTTTGATACTTCGTATAAGTATGCTGTCAATTTCTTTCATTTTTCCTAATGTAAAGTGTTTTCTCTCTCGTTTTTTTGAAACTATTACTTTTAAACTGTTATGTGACCGCAATAAGATTGAAATTCAACAAGTGATCCCATTAAATCAACTGATCTATTTTCTCTAAGACAGAGCTTGAATCAAATGCTTTATACTTATCTATCTATCTTTTTTTACTTATGCATTTTATGCATGCATGTTTCATAATTTTGCATTTTTCTTAACGAAGGTATCGTTGAACAGCTTCTTTGTTTTTTCTTTATTCTCTTGATTAGGTCCACAACTGTATCGCATTCTGCTTTTTAGCTTCTCATTAACATCTACACAGTATTTCTTGTACCTCTTTTTCATAACCTACAAGATGTGCTTTCTCCAACAGAGTAAAATTTTGTCAACTGAATCAAGCAATGGTTTTGCAATCTGCTTCGTTTGCCATCAGAATCAATCTTGTGTATTGTTTCTGCCTTGCAAACACACGGTGACTTGCCAAGGTTGGTTTCCTTGTACTCAACCACGAGAAATATCTGAAATTAACCGTTTAGGATACGTGTTCACATTTTTCGTTGTAGCGAATTGAATTGCTTGGAAGGTGGCTTACTGATTAGGCTAACTTTATTCAATTCGCAAGGTTTGATCGAGCGGAGCCTCTGCGGAGACGTAGAATAGATGTTAACGAGTTTTTTGTCAGAACGTGGCGAAAATTGTCAATGTCTTATTCGAAGAGCTTCATTCCATTAGCCATGGTATTTGCCTAAAATTCTGTAGCCTATATATGTTAAACCCAACAAAGAACTTTTTTGTTAGACAAACTGACAATAAAAAAGTCCTCTGCGTTTGCTAGATCCTGAATCAGGTATAGATATTATTTGCGGAGTTCTTAGTTTTGCTTATTTTGCAGATTGCTGTTTGGATTTAAAACATTGCGTGGAATGCAAAAAGGAAATTGCCGAGAAGATTGGTGCAGGTATCTTGTCAAACATGTTTTGATATTCATCACAGTAAACCTAAATTTATAATAGGGCATTTTAAAATTGTTATAGCCTTGCATAATGAGTGCATAAAGTATAAAACAAATAAATAAATAAGCAAAGCCCGAATAAGGATATCAGCATTTCCATATTTTCAAAACCTTTTTTGGAAATTTCGTCAAATCTGATAAGTGAGAAGCAGTGTATCTGATATGCTTCAGCAAGCCTTAAAATAAAATTCATTTTTAGAGGGACCCTTCTTGATGCGCCTAATCTGACTGTCTTAACTGAACTGAAGGTCTCCATTTGTTTAATTCACAATGAAATTCAAGACTTGATAATTATAGAAAATGCGGTTTTGGACAAAAGATGCCTCTCCTTCTTTGGACATAAATATCAGCTGTTTTTTAAAAGTTCCTTACTTCCAACAGGTCTTATTCTAAAACCTTATGGGCTACAACTATTGGACGAAAACAGTTTTTTCGTAAATTTCATTTCTAGTGATTGAGTGACTTCAACTGGCAAGAAAAAATTCAGTCTAAAGAACTGACTTAAATGTTGTTTGATGAGTTCTTTGATGGTGTGTTTATTTTTTCAGACGGAAATAAAATCAAAGTTGAGCAAAGACGGTGGCAATCACTGGAAAATTTGCTGTCATCCGTTGACAGATTAAGGTCAAAAGTCATGACCCTAGAAAGCAAGTCAAAGTGTCAGATCTGCTCAGTTAATAACAAGGATGTGTTTTTTCAGTGTGGACATGCAACATGTGAAGTTTGCGGGGAAAAGCTGATTGTTTGCCCAACTTGTCATGTCAAAATAGAAGTTAAAACTCTGCATGGCTTGTAAAGTCTCAGAAAATATCGTTTATTGCATTTTATGTTTGAGTGAAGAATTTTATGACTAATAGCAAGAGCAGATATATCTGATCTTCCTAAGAAGGTATTAATAAATTTCGAAAAACATCCACATTTTCAAAATTATTTATGTGATATTGTTGTGTCAAATAGAATAAGTTCATTTTACTTCAGATTTTTTCTGTGTAAATCAAAATACGCTTCTATCTTTCTATGCTTTATATGGTTCAAAAACAAGCTGCACTTTATCCTATAATTTATAATAAAGACCTTCTATGTGCGTACATACAAATTTACCCACCATAGAGGATCTCCTCTTTGACTAAGTTAGTGCTATATAAGCGATGTGAGTTTGCCATTTAATGTCACATTGAAGGACCCTATTATTGATGCATTTAGCAAAAATGAAAGTCATCCCAGCATTTTTTTGATTAAACGTAACATACGATATATAAACCTTTTTTCTTTAGTTCCAGTCAATCAGCTATGTTAATATGGAAAATAAAATAAACAAACCAGAGAGTTCGAAGAAAACTAGCGCTACACTCTCTGTTGATATCATAAAGAAATTAAAGGAATATATCATGCTTAAATAGCTGAACACTTTAACTCAATGAATCCTATCCTGCGAATTCCCTGGTCTTCTAAAGGGTGCAGATATATCTGCAATCCATAAAAATTCTGACCTTACCTCTTGTATTAATTAAAGGCCTATTAGCCTACCACCAGCAAAGTCCAAAGTTTTCGAGCGCTTGTTAGAAAAACAAATCGCCCCTTTTTTAGACATCAAAAAATCAAATCTGTTATGCATTTATAGAAAAAACTATTGTGCTAAGTATGTACTAATCAGATTGATTGAGAAAATACGCAAGACTAGAGATTTGAAAGGCGTTGCGGTCATGATCTCTTTGGATCTAACAAAGGCATTTGATTGTATGCCTCAAGATCTGCTTGTTTTCCAAATTGAACGCATAAGGTTTCGGAATGCAGAGTTGATTGCAAATTACCTCTCAAATAGAATAAAAATACTAAAAATATGTACGACATATTGTAATTTGTTGAAAACAAAGACCGGTGTACCATAAGGCTCTGTGCTAGGTCCGTTGCTCTTCAATATTATTGAGGAGTCGGAGGTATGCAATTCTGCAAATGATAATACTATTTTCTCTTGTGACAATTCTTTTGAAGTTGTTGCCTCAAGTCTTGAACAAGGCTATGTCTAAATCGATGTCCTGGTTTAGAATAAGCCAAATGGTTGTGAATACATCAAAATATCAAGTTATGCTATTCGGCTTGAAAGCATAATTTTAGAAGTAGGCGAATGTTCAATTGATGTTACCAACAGTACCTCTTTTGGGGGTTACAGTGGATTCTAGATTGAAATTTAACCAACATGTATCAAAAGTCTGTAAAACATAAACAGCAAGATTAATGCTTTTTCCAGGGTTTCAAATTATCTTGATTAAAACCTGTCTCTTATTCTTAGCAACTCTTGTCTCTTGGTATAGATGTTTTGTGGAAAAGATGCCAACAAAGACTTGAACTGCACCATAAAAGAGCACTTCGAATTCTACACAATGACTATTCCCTCCTCTTTTGATGAACTTCCACACAAATAAAATTAATGCACAATCCTTACTAAAAACTTGCAAAAACTAATGCTTGACATTTATTAGAAAACCCATCTTTCATGTGGGATAAGGTTCCAGGTCAAGAATAACCAATAAAATTAACGGCGAAAGAGCCTGCTAATGTTGCCTAAAACTAGCACTATTAGATATGGAAATAGTAGTGTAATCTTTTGTGGTAGCATCTTATGGAACAAACTTCAAAATGACATTAAAAGCATGACCTCTGTCTGCTCTTTAAAAAAACGCGTTACAAGATGAAGTGGGGAGGATTGCAATTGTCAATTTGCAGAAATTAAAAACATTTTATTCCAGGTATTAATCCTTTATCTTCTCATTGATCGATTCCTTAGCATTTTATTGTATTTAGATATGAGTGTTTATTGTAAATAGTTGATGTCAAATAGTTTTCTTTATAAAATCTATGTAAAAACCAACTTTAAAGAGTTTCCAAATGATAATAAATAATAATAGCTTCCCCAAATTTTCGGTAAATAAAAAACTAGAATAAGCCTAAAGTATTTATTCAAATAAACCTTTAGTTCACAACATATACATTTAACAAAAGTCAATAAGTAAAACAGCGTCAGCAAGAAGATTGCCACCATTGGGGCTAAATGGAGAAATAGGATATTTTCTTTACATTGCTGGCCCCTCCAGTTCAGGATTAGTGGCGCAGGCCTCCAACGTAGGATCAGTGGAAAAGAGAAAAAGAGCAACAGCCAACATTGCAGATTCACCACAAAGGGAAGAAATTAAAAGCCAAGATAAAAACCTAAAGCAATCAACACACGCTCAGGGATCCAATGTGTTACAAAGAAATGCTGCCTTCTTTCCAGGCCATTGAGCTGCAGGAAATAAAAATACTTTTCCTTCTACAGCATTGAACATGCTACAGCATTCTACAGAGGGAATTTTCTACAGCATTAAAATAGATGGCAGCGCCAACAAGGACATCAGAGATCATAAGTTTGTCAGTAGTACATTATCAATGACTAATGGCGACAGGTGTACACAGTTTTTATGACAATGCACCTTCCAGAAAGAGGAGGGGCCCATGGCTTCTCGAGGCAGTGAATCAAGCTTTCAAGGTACGAGTGGCAGACGGACATGCACAAACTAGTCGGCATTACAACAGGTGTGAAACTGCAAATACTGGGCGAAATTATCAGCTTGGGAACCTTTTTGGTGAACAGTGGGAACGGAACATTTTAGTGATGTGCCCCTCCTTCAGATCTTGCAACCGAGGCAATTATCAATTCTGTCCAAGAACTTAAGATTTGGAAATTATCACTGATTGGTGTTGTTGTATGTTTCCGTGCCTCGACGTCAAAGATGAAAATGCTGGAGAAGGCAATTACTGAGGTGAAGTACTTTCCACGAGATCATGACGTAAAGTTTGCTCAACTTTTCTCCTCACTTATAGATGCTGTTCTTGCGAACATCAAAGGATGTAAAGAGGTTTGGAATGAATTGCAAGAAGTGGTGATCACACAGATGAGAAAGAAGCATCAAGATATCTAGATATTCCCAGAGAAATTATTCTAAAATCTAACATATAACATCTAGACACAGAGAGCAAGACAAATAAGACAACATTTTGATGCCAGCAGGTGTCAGCTAACAGAAGAAATGAAGCTTCAATTCGTGTTGAAAAAACATCTTGAAGTAAATCTTTGAGCTGAGCGCCTGCACCCCGAAAAAGAAGAAAGTACGAACGAATGGTTGAGTTCAAGTGCCTTTGGGCAATTTGTAGGAAAAGCAATATGGAAGACTCAGAGGCTTTTTCCAGAGGAAGAGAGAGGGTGGCTTTGCAAATAAATGCTATCAACAGCCGGAAAAAAATCGAGGATGTACCACATTTTCTCGAAGAAAGCGTCATTGGTTGTACCTTTTCAGTACGTGTAAGAAACAGTGGCGTGGTGGCAGAGGGGGCCAGGGGAGCCATGACACCCCCAAATTGGGGCGCAAATGGAGATAAGGAGGCGCCAAAATTGTTTGCTTGTAATAATTGACTAGGAACATCAAAATTGATCGTACACGGGTAGAACACTTCACTGTAACTTGCTGTGAACAATCTAATAAAACGTGTGATTCTACAATTGAAGCACGTTGCGCTGCCATGACCCAATCAATATTTGTGTCATATTTTTTCGTGTTTTCAAGATTTTACGTATGCCAAAAATGTTTTCTATTAGTTGGCACTCCGAGCGCCAAAAAGTCTGATGGTACGCCACAGATCTTCGGGCCTAAGTACATTGAATACCCCTGGCAATCAATACAGCAACTTCTTAGTTATTAACATCGTTGTGAACCAAAGGTCGCCCTTTATTTCTTTATCCAACGCATGAGTCCTCCCCTCCCAAATTTCTTCTAAAAATCAAAAATCGATGTTTTTCTGAGCACCGTCGAGCTGTCTATTCTGAGCGGTGTAGTAATTTGTTAAATTTTAGCCTGGGAGATGCATTTTCCATTCTAGAAGGCTTGATTTCCAAAATTTTCTTTAGCGTCGGACCCAACCATGGTGGATCCTCCTTTGTAACTAAACTTGATCCTAAGCGCGCTGCCTCTGTCCGATTCAATAGTGCGTTTCAATGCTTGAAACTTTCAAGTTTTTGAAAGACTACTACTATTCAATAACTTTTAAAGAAAATAACAAACTTGAGGCCATATTTGTATATCATACATCATGTATACGATGACACTAGGCTGATAAAATCGCCCACAAGCAGTGGCGAAATGGACTAAGGTTACTTTTATTAAAAAAACTAAGGAACCCGAAACAAAAATTTGCTCCACGTTATTTTACTCTGAAGCTTGTATTCTGGATATAATAAACGAGTAGCCTGTATGAAACATTAGTGTAATTGAATATAATGTTTTTGATTAGTATTTTATGTTATCCCTACAGTATTTTTTCCTCGAAAATAGGCCGACTGTAGAAAATAAGCCAATTCAAAGTAGCTTGATATTTTTCCGAACCACGATCGGAAGGTCAAATGTTAGGATTACATAACTTTTCCATTCATATTCGTATTTTTAGTCAAAACTTATTTATGCAACTTTGTATTCAAGTTGCAAAAATCGATTTCCCTTCTAGAAACAGATGCTTTTATATAACCACGATATATAGATAGGGCGCAAATATCGACTTGGCCACCCCAGGGAAAACATAGCCACCCCGCCACTGGTAAGAAAGCTCTTTGCCTATTACAAATGGTACCATTTAAAAAGTGCTAGCTGTTGTTGGAAGTATGTCACTACATTTTATACAAACCGAGAGGATTGTGTCTCACCCAAACATCATGGTGTGTGATTCAAGGGTTCTTTGAAATCGTTTATCGCATCCAGCTTCACGGTAAAATAACATAGAAGGCATTTTGCTGGGGGCCCTTAAGGCCGGAGGCCCTTATTTGTCGAAATATAGGTAACTTTGGTCCGTTACGCCATTAAGTTACGTTACGTTACGTTACGTTGTCTCCAATAAGGATTCTACTTTTTGCAACCTTTTTATAATCAGTTTTACAATTAATTTCTTCTGCAGTTTGAGAGGGTATGTGATACCACAGAATAGCATGCGTTGACCGTTGCTGAGCATGCGCCATAATTTGCAAAATGGTGTACAGAGGCCGGAAAAGAACTACAGCGAATTGATGAGACTTTCTAGGATGATCTACCTTTTTAGCTTGAATAAAAAACGGGTATGTTTGCTTCAGCTTATTTACTAATATTTTTTTTATTTTTTGCGTGCTAGTTTAAGGGTTGCATTCTGTTTTGCAAGGGTTGAGCGGCAATCTGAGTGTGAGTGGACGGGCCTAATTTGAACCAAAACTGACGTTTAGAAAAACGTTGAAAGAAGTTAGTTTCTCTTTTTGTGTCATGGCATCGAAAGCTGTAGACGGATCATGTCGGTGCTTCCTCCTTCCTTTTTTTCTATTTTTTGCAATCTTGCCTGGTTGTTTTGCTTCTCTAACGCCAAACCTCTTCGTCATCCAACCTGACATCTTCAATCGTTGCCTTCCTTTGCTCGATTCAGTTTTGTCCAGTTCAGTTCCAGTTTGGTTCGGTTCAGTTCAGTTTTGAAATTCCGCTACATACAACTTCAATTAAAAATACATATGCTTCTTCAGATTCTGAAGAAGCATATTGCGAAACGTTAATCAAGTTGTTTTTTTACTGATCATCTATATATATATCTATATATATTATATATATATATATATATATTCAAAAAAGAATTACAGAAAGGAAACTGAATATCAAATACAGGACACAAGAAAAAACTAAATGGAGAATAAAGTGTATGCAGGGACATTTCTTAAGGAGGAGCTCTCTTAGTAGGTAAGCTTATAAAGGAAGGAGCACCCCCTTTTAATGATACTCTAAAAAAATTGTTTGGATTCATTGTCCCATGACTGTTTATAGTTAAAATCAGTTATTGTAACTTTTATCAAGATATGATTTCAGGTTTTTACAAAAACTAATAACAGATGGGAATTTCTTTACTTCAATGGGAATGGAATTCCACAACTTTACACCACAGTAATGCACTGACCTAGTTCCATTTTGTAAAGCTTTTTTGTGAGTTAAGAAAATATTAAGATAAAGTTCAGGAACAAAGCAAAATTGCGACAAGAATCCAATGTAACAAGAAAGATTTTGAAAATAAATTAAATAAAATGCATACTGATATTTCGCCCCGGCATACAGAGCTTCATGAGAGAAAATAAACGAATGAGTAAATAAATTCGAAATTAGAGATGGTAATGCCGGATTGGTTGGTGTAGAATGGTGTGAACGGGCAGGGTTCTGTTTTTAAATGCAAATGGCAATGTAAATGGGATCTGAAATCGCATTGAGAGAAATAATGGGTGTTGTTTACTACATGCATGGTAATTTCCTTATTACGAAGACTTGATTATCTTCCGATTAATCATTAACTTTGAACCTTAATTCAATTAAAGTAAATAGAGTTAATTTAAATGAAATTTAGAAACCTTACAACACAGATTACTATAAAATTGTCATGTTATCTTTTAAAGAATGTTTTCACTTCCAATTTACTTGGGTAAGGTTGGTTTCTTGATCTCATTTCAACCAATTTTACTAGCTGCTAACTGTGAGTTGCTATAATGGTCTTTGTTTTTGGCATCCCCATCACATGCAAGCCAAATGCACCAGAACAAAGGAACCCCTGATACACTAGCGGGGGCAGCCATTCCCAACAAGAGGAATCCCTCATAAAGATAATGACAGCCCTGCTAGCAGCCCAAGGAAGCCCAAAGCCTATCCAAGCAAAGCTTATATACAACAGCCCCCTTTAATATCAAGTTGCAAAGAAGTGCATTTCTGTTTTAGATATAAAACTTTTAAAGATGAGCTTCTCTTATAATGGGCTGGTTTATGAGACAAACGAAAAAGACAGACAGACAATGTGCTCCTGAATCAAGAGAAAGGGGTTGTGTTTGGAATAATCTGCCTGATGAATAATCTGCCTGATGAATAAAACTAGTGTGACTAGCCAAAAGGGTTTTTTTGTCACCTTGTAAAATGAAATGATCAACAGTTACAACTAGACACCTATAAAAACTTATCTTTGTCTGATTCAAAATATTAAGTCTCATTTGTCTAAAGCAATTATTTTAACACTGTTTTGGTTTATAGTGTTACACCTGCTTTTTGTACACCTGCTGAATGAGAACCAATGTGATTAAAATCAATGTGATTTTGAAACAGCATTATGGAAGGATTTACTGCAAACAGTAGCTTGTCTTCACAAGCAATCGTTCTTGATAATGTGCACAACCAATGTTGTTTAATCATAATGTTATTGTTTTTGTCTCTAAATAGTTTTGATTGATATCATTTTTTATGGCAATTCACTTTATGAATCTTTGCATTTCTGTTGGCCTCTTAAAATAATCCTTACAAATGTTTATTTTACATTCATGTCTGCTTTACATTATTTTTATTTGTTTATTGTAGGTATTTGCTTGTCAATGTCATTGGTACGAGTGCTGTCAGTCAAGCATTCAGTTGAAGACAGGTAAGCAAATTTGACATTTGTATTCTATCTAATCATTTAAAAAAGAATCCCACTATTTCCTTGTCCGTGGCCTGGTACCCTTGTCACTTGATCAACTTTTTAAAAACTGATAAATGTAATTTCAATATTTGAATCTTTGGTGGTTGCTGAAAATTACTGTGTTGGCAGGCAAAGTTTTAAATGCACCTCAGGTCTTGTCGTTTATATTTTTGCAGGTGAGCTGTGAATGGCTTGCCTCTGTTGCCCAGGCGAGCTAAACCAAGCAGACGTACAATGCACTTTAAATGGTCTAGAAGTCAAGGAAAGTGCTAGAAATCAATGCAATATTATTTGAATAAAATTCTATTAAAGCCTGTTGAGGGATAAAGAAGCTCTTATATAAACCACTATATTACAAGCATTTTCGAAAGTATATTAAAAGAATGCCACAAAACTGACTTAATAAATCTTTGAAGTTTATGATTTCAACTTGCTTTCCTTCCTCAGGGCATAATGTATATTTTACTGTCATGGCTTCCTTTAGATCTCTGATCTTAACTATTTTGTTTTGTACCTTTTCTCGAGATGCATCTCAACAGAACGTTGTCTTTTTTCTTTTTCCATCCATATTTCATCATTCTCTCTCACAATCACCAACATTTCCATGGTTTCGTGGCTCATGCTTAGGCAACAGTCATTAAGCAGAAGAGTCAAGACACTGAATATCCTTTCCACAGCAGAAAATTAAGCTACCATAGTTATCGCTAACTTGACAACATTGCACAAATTGAGATTTTGAAGCCCCATTACAACTTAAAAAATTTGCTGTCACAGAATTTCTAGTTTCTTGAAAAAGCCTGTCAGTTGTCGTTTGGCAAAAATGTTTAAATCTTCTCTATTTATTGAAAACATCTTCGGGTTAACATTTTAGCTTCAAAAAGGGGAACAGTGAATCTATCTGGAACATTTTACAGCATTGTCTCTATCATCATTTTACAGCATTGTATTATTTGTTGTCAGTTTCAGAAAGTCCTTCTTCAATTCTTCTTGAAGACAGCTAATCAACCTCTTGTGACTTTGTTCAGAACTCCATTCCTGCTATTATTTCCGTGATACATTCTCGGTTGCTTGATATGTTCACTGGCTTCCTTCTTCCATGCCCCTCTTCCAAGTACATCTCCACAATTTCACTGTTCTCTTCTACCTTGAATCTCGCAGCCCAACCGTTGAGGGTTTCTTCATCTTTCCCTGCAGTTTTGTCCAACTCATCTAGCACAGAGATGGTGTTATCAGTTATCAGATACGCAAACAAGGACCTGCAACCTCCGGAACATCAATGTAATTGTCAATTTAAAAAAAACAGCTCATAAGACTGCGACAGGTTAAGCAAGCCCATGAATTTTGTTGCCGTTTCTATTGCTCTTCAACGTTCGCTAAGGTATTTTTGAAGTTAGTCATCCTTCATGAATGCATATTGATTTGGATAAATGCTTTCGAGAAGGGCACTTAAATGATACTGAATGGTTTACTTCTTCACTTCATTTGTTCTATTGATATACGATTTCACCATAGCTCTTGCACCCTCTTTGCCCAAAGGATGCAAAAGAACAGAATCTTTATCTTACAAAAGTACATGTTTCCTTCCTACCAATTTGTTACCTCTCCTTTCCTTTTCTCAACTTTTTCTCCTTTCCTTCCAAGAATATGTCTCTTTTCGTAAGTTAGAGCGGTTCTGAACTCTTCAAACGTACGTCTCGCTACATTTCAAATTGATTAAAGTTTGTGACTACCATTACATAGAGCGCCCGACAGGGAAAAAATTGATAGCAAATATGTCACGAGAGGAGAAATCACTTTAAAAAATAAAGCAATTAACACTTGCAAGGTTTTCAGGATGGAAATTCGAAGGAAGCGATTTTCCCTTCACGTTTGGTTTTGGAGAGCAATTCACAGCTCGTCTTGAGTTCCGAGGGGAGCGTGGAAGCTATCGCTCGCCCCAAACGGCCAGGTCTACATCTGTAACTTTAGGGCTCCATGGGGAAGATGTTTTCGAACCAAAACACATTGCATCCTATGAATCTTCTTATTAATCATATTGTTGCTAAAATTTTCAGTACCCTGAGAATATAGTCATGCTCATATCCTTCCAGAAAAAACGGTTATTCTTAAAAGAAGAGTGTGTGTATTTATCTAGCATACATAATGCACCACTGTTATTAGAAAATAAAGCGAAATTCGTTTTGTTGTTTATTCTGATAGATTAATCAATGCAGATTTAAAAATTGTGTTTGGTTTTTTTTCTGGGCACATAAATAGGGTTTTCTGGGTGTTGTCTGGGGGTAGGTCGTTTGCAGTTATCCATTAAATAGGGTTTTCTGGGTGTTGTCTGGGGGTAGGTCGTTTGCAGTTATCCATTAAATAGGGTTTTCTGGGTGTTGTCTGGGGGTAGGTCGTTTGCAGTTATCCATTAAATAGGGTTTTCTGGATGTTGTCTGGGGGTAGGTCGTTTGCAGTTATCCATTAAGTAGGGTTTTCTGGGTGTTGTCTGGGGTAGGTCGTTTGCAGTTATCCATTAAATAGGGTTTTCTGGGTGTTGTCTGGGGGTAGGTCGTTTGCAGTTATCCATTAAATAGGGTTTTCTGGGTGTTGTCTGGGGGTAGGTCGTTTGCAGTTATCCATTAAATAGGGTTTTCTGGGTGTTGTCTGGGGGTAGGTCGTTTGCAGTTATCCATTAAGTAGGGTTTTCTGGGTGTTGTCTGGGGTAGGTCGTTTGCAGTTATCCATTAAATAGGGTTTTCTGGGTGTTGTCTGGGGGTAGGTCGTTTGCAGTTATCCATTAAATAGGGTTTTCTGGGTGTTGTCTGGGGGTAGGTCGTTTGCAGTTATGCATTAAATAGGGTTTTCTGGGTGTTGTCTGGGGGTAGGTCGTTTGCAGTTATGCATTAAATAGGGTTTTCTGGGTGTTGTCTGGGGGTTGGTCGTTTGCAGTTATGCATTAAATAGGGTTTTCTGGGTGTTGTCTGGGGGTAGGTCGTTTGCAGTTATCCATTAAATAGGGTTTTCTGGGTGTTGTCTGGGGGTAGGTCGTTTGCAGTTATCCATTAAATAGGGTTTTCTGGGTGTTGTCTGGGGGTAGGTCGTTTGCAATTATCCATTAAATCTGCAAAGTAGACTCCGTTATAGCGTATTTCTCCTTTTTAAATCTGTTCGATTACAATGCGGACGTATTTCATTATTATACCGTAAAAGAGAAAAATATTTTGCAATCTGCAGCCAAGAAAAGTGAAAAATAATAGTCAAGTTAGGGAAATTTAAGGCTGCTAGCAAAGCACCGGTAGGAGTGAAAATTTCCTCGGTTTTCGGTGCAGTCAATTACAATTTAATATAACAAGAAAGAAAAGTGTCCGCCATCAACACAGAAAAATTGGTTAGTTGTACAAATGTGAAAGAAGGATGAAACTTGATGGAGATTGGCAGTTTGATACACTGAAAAGGATAGAATTTTGACCCATGCTGGGAAATTCCCCTTGCGCTGTTTTTAAACCGGGAAACCAGATTCCAGGACACTAAGCCAGCTATCGTCATGATTTCACTTTAGATTGTTATACAAGCATGAATTTTGGTTAAGGCGTGCAGTTGATTTAAAACATTTTGATCAAAGAGAGCGGATTCCAATAAAATATTTTTTTATCCCAATAAAGCAGTTTTTTATATACATGCATTTCAAAGCACTGCTTCCTTAGATGTGCAAACGTTTTGTAGAAGAAGATAATGTAGCCAGAGGAAGATTCTTGTGCTGTTGTCATTTTGTAATAATGGACTGCAAAATACGTCGAATGTTATAATGAAATACGAGCTCCATTTCAAGCCAATAAGTTGTTAATGCGAAGATATTGCTTCATAATCCTTATATAGTTCTACATATTTGATTTCAGATCTAAAATCAAAAGAAGTAACAATTGTATTAAGAAGAGTCAACATTCCACAAGATTTGGTATGTCTTTTTAGATGTGACCAGTTAATGATTCCATTATGTAATTTCCATGAGAGAAAATATTTTTGGAAAATATTCCAGGTAATGCAATTTGTAGCAACAAAAGAGATTTTTTTGTTAAACAACGGAAAAATAGAATGAAATCTTTTTTAAGTTCAAGTGAGCATTCACACCTTCTAACCTCAACATGTGCCTGTTGCTCTGGGGGCACCTGTTGCTCTGGGGGCACCTGTTGCTCTGGGGGCACCTGTTGCTCTGGGGGCACCTGTTGCTCTGGGGGCACCTGTTGCTCTGGGGGCACCTGTTGCTCTGGGGGCACCTGTTGCTCTGGGGGCACCTGTTGCTCTGGGGGCACCTGTTGCTCTGGGGGCACCTGTTGCTCTGGGGGCACCTGTTGCTCTGGGGGCACCTGTTGCTCTGGGGGCACCTGTTGCTCTGGGGGCACCTGTTGCTCTGGGGGCACCTGTTGCTCTGGGGGCATGATTTTTCATGCTGCACGTCTTTCCTTGTCAAGTTGATGTCTTTCAGTTGATGTTTTTATTGCTCTGTGTTCAAGCAAAAGAAATTACATCACAGGGAAGCTTTGCTAGAATAGTTCTTGAGACATTGTTAGAGAAAGTCTTTGAAAACTGTTATGTTTGATATATTGTATATCGAATGAGAAGAGACAGCATTTTCGTTTTTGTAAAATATACACTGAAGTGTACAGGAAACGGCAGGCTCCAAGGTGGCAACATATGTCTCATTCGCCTTCCATAGTAACCTTCTTCTTCTTCTTTTTCATTAGAACACCTCTATTTGAACACAACCTTTACGGGTAGTATGATCCTATGAGTGTCATAACTGGCATGATGCCTCGTTTTACCTTACGGCACACATGTTTCCTGTGAATTGTCTACAAGCGCGTAGCCTTGCCAATGTTACAACACTGATATCAAGGCCGGAATTTTCTTACCTTATCTACTTTCAACTTATTTCTATCTATGAAGTTTACTAGCCTCTATCCAAGGATATACCTTTTTTATCAATGCTTGTGCACATTTCATTTGACATATTGCCATTTTGATCGATCTATCATCCCAGGACAAGCCAGGAATGAATCAAGCAATGTCACGCACAAACTCCCTGCAATGTCATGCAGCAACTGACATCCTGGTTGCGGTGGCGCCGCAGCATTCACTGAATTATGATACAAACAAAGGCCTTATGCAGCTGAAAGAAGTTGGTCAGTTGCATCACGTTGTTCCATGTGATATGCCAGACATCGAACCGTCAAGTTTCATGAAACCTGTTTACATGGAAAAGAATAAAATGCAACAAAAACAGTCACTAGCTGAAGCTTCGTTGATTACTTCAAATAACATTGGGCCTAATGAACCTGACGTTTTTTGGGTGAGTGATAGTGACTTCGACCAAAATAATCCTACAAATGACAAAACACAGGGTTTTTTCTTGAAAAAAGGAAAAAATAGACGGGAAAAGTCAAGTGAAGTTTTCCAAAAAGCTCCTCAATGTGATATATTGATAACAGATTGGGAAATCAACGATTCAGATATCAGTTTTGTTGCACCCCAGGAAGTGACAAAAAAAGATGACAGCCTCCAGGCTTCAGGTAGAAAAGACCAGTGCTCGACTGTTGAAGGGACAAGAGGAAAACCATTAACAGGACCTAGTACTCTGGTTGAATCCGATAATCTTGTAAATAATCATGAAAGTTGTACAGGCAATCAGTTTTCATCGTTCAAAATAATGAATTGCCGTGTTAGTAAAAAAGAGGAATGTATTGAGTTGAGCGACGAAAGTGGGAATGAGCATGAAGACAACCCGGTTACTGGAAATGAAGGAATGCATGCTGACAATCAAACATGTAATTTAATCAAAAATAATCTTACTTGGAATCGTAATGACGCAAGACTCAGGGGTAAGAAGAACGTTCAGTACGTAGTTGTTGACGATGACAACGACGATGATGATGATAATGACGACGATGACAGCGACAACGATGAAGATGATGATGACGATGTCACTAGCATTAGCAACAGTGTTACTGTGGATTACTTGGTTTCTAATGATTTCATTGTTGGTCGTCACCATGATCCAAGGTTCAATTATAGTATGTTCAAGGCTGTTTCTAATCGGGGACATAATGGTTCTGAGCATGTGGAACATCCTTCCGACACTGATGATGATTCTGTTGAAGGTTTTGACGATGACACCACCATATCTTCGTCAGATAATGACGTTGATGTTTCAGAAAGTGAATGCATTTATATCGAAAGTGATAGTGATGACAATAGAAATAATGTTAATGATTCTGATAACACAAGTATCGCCTGCACAATTCCAGTGGGAACTTTAAATTCCATTGGAACCAATGAAAACTTAAAACCTCTCCACGATAAAGAATGTGTCAGTTATAAAGACTCGTTGGAAAAAAGAAAGAAAATGACAAAGCAGGATAGCCCTCTTCAGTTTATCAACAAATCTAACTATTCGAAAGATGTTGTGAATTTGATTAGCAAAAGCAATGTTGCAAATGGACATTTTCAACAAATAAGAGATGTTGATAAATACAATGAATATGAAACGACGGAAAAGCAAAATTCAAAAAATGACATGATTTCTGAAAACATTTCTGGCCTAAAGCTTCTTTCAGAGCGGAAAAGAGCAAAAGGGAGTACTGAATGCTTAGAAATCAATGACTATAAAGATTCAGAAGATGGGGGAAGCAGAGTTTTATTGAAAAAGTTCAACATTTCACCTTGCAAGGTTGTATTGTCTCCTTGTTACAATGAAATATTTGAAAGACCCACAGGAGTCACAAAGGGTATTAAGCGAAACCTTACAAATTGTTTTAGCGAAAAAGATGGTTACAGCCTCTCATTAGCTAATGACGTTTCGGAGAAAACACTCCTTGAAAGTGGTAGGTCTCTAATAGCCTTACACTTAGACGACAGTGATGAAAGCAAATTGAGTTTCTCACCGGAAATCGAAAAGGTAGACGAAACAGATGCTGAATGTTGCTCAGCTGATGAAAAATTTGCGGATGTTCCTCTGAAATTCGCTGGTAGAGGAAGAATGCACGATTGTGACCCTGATCATGGTCAGGAAAAGAATAGCAATTTATGGGGCGCAGTTTTCCAAACAGCTGAAATGTTTAAAAAGAGCCAAATAGATGAAACCACGGTAGGCGTGACTCAAAGCCGGAAATCTGAAAATCATCCACCTGGCAACAGTCAGGAGTTGCAGATTGAAGGAGACAGTTGGCGAAAAAATAAAACATTGTTTTTAGAAAATAATCGCGATGATTGCATGTTTAAGAAAGGTTTGCTGAAAGAACTGCTGCATGACAAAGGCAATGGCCCTCTAGGGGGCGATGAGAAATTTAACTTTACTTTAAGGTCCCATCCTGCAAGGAATTGCACAAAGGAAAAAGCAGATAAAAATAATGATGTTTGCACTTACGGCTTAGTTGATTGTAACAACTTTATTGCACTAGGTGAGCAGAACAAGCACCCAAAAGTAGAACGAAAAAGAAAGTTTTTGCAGCCGCAGAGCGAAGGGAGAGTGTTACGGAAAAGGCAGAAAATGGAGCCACAACCGAAAATGAATTTTAGTAATGTTATTCGGGATTGCGTAGTTATGCTGAAACGTGTTGACCCCACTCTTTTTGCATTTTCCGGGAGAAGGAAAGGTTCTCGAAGGTTCCAAGATGAAAGTGAAAACTTTTCGGAAAATAGAAAGAAGAGGAAAGTTGCTTTAACTCACGAAGGGATAGTGAGAAGAAGGCGGCAAACAACGGATTTGTATTGTGCACAGAAAGAATCGGAAAGGTACCAGAAGATTAAGAAGGCAAATAAAGATCGAAAATCTGAAAAAACAAGACTCTCTTTTCAGAGATCATTGGCATATATAAATAAACGCATTTTCAACCAAAACCAATTAAAATCTATTTTTGCATGGGAGAGTTGGGACGATTCAAAAAATGTTCTGTAAGTAGTACAATGCTTATATTGATGTTTGGTTTTTATATTTTTAAGTCTTTGATATGTTAGAATCGGCTAATGTAAATACAAGTTTCATTTATTCTTATCTCAAAGATATGTTAATCAGCGAAGAATCAAGTCTATATATGTGCAAACGATGGATCAAGATTTATTTGGTCACTTAATATGAAATGCTTGTAAACCTTTGTATCTGCTCCATCTTGGCAGAGTGCAGAGAAAGAATCAACCGTTGTCTAGACAACATGTGTGCAAGAACCGTCTCCACTTCAGATAAAAAATAAGTTTGTTTTCAAGATATCTTTGCATTGTAGAAGTAGTATATTTGCCTTTCTAACATCTGACCAATATGAAATTCGTTATCAATACAGCGGTTTTGCAATGGATGGTCGACCCACATATAAATCTATGTTCCAAGTTTTTTGGAATAAACACGAGGAAGGTTTGGATTTTTATAAAACAATTTTGTTTGTCAATGGATGCACCTCGAAATATATCAAAAGTCCGCTTGGTTCAGATCAGTCGTTTTCTAACAGAAGGGTTACTTTATTTGGCCTCATTTATTTCATCCTCATCGTGCTACTTTCAGGCACATGACATTGATGTTACGATAAACATCTTATCTCTATCTAAATTCACTTTTTCGTTTATAACATGCTCAAGTTTTGCAATTGGTTGTCTGTGCCTGTTTTTCAATCTGTGCCTGTTTTTTCAATCTGTGCCTGTTTTTTCAATCTGTGCCTGCTTTTTCAATCTGTGCCTGTTTTTCAATCTGTGCCTGTTTTTCAATCTGTGCCTGTTTTTCAATCTGTGCCTGCTTTTTCAATCTGTGCCTGTTTTTCAATCTGTGCCTGCTTTTTCAATCTGTGCCTGTTTTTCAATCTGTGCCTGTTTTTCAATCTGTGCCTGCTTTTTCAATCTGTGCCTGCTTTTTCAATCTGTGCGTGTTTTTCAATCTGTGCCTGTTTTTCAATCTGTGCCTGCTTTTTCAATCTGTGCCTGTTTTTCAATCTGTGTTTTTCAATCTGTGCCTGTTTTTCAATCTGTGCCTGCTTTTTCAATCTGTGCCTGCTTTTTCAATCTGTGCCTGCTTTTTCAATCTGTGCCTGCTTTTTCAATCTGTGCCTGCTTTTTCAATCTGTGCCTGCTCTTCAACTGCCAAGCAATTATCTCTATTATACTTTCCTCTATGTAATGGTGAAGATATTGTTGTATGATATAGATAAATACACTTTATATTGGAATGCACCTCGATGTGACATGCAGTCAGTATCTGTTCCACCACTCGGTAAACTATCTTCGCAAACAAATTGTTACCTATTTGAAATATACATTTGCCAAATAAAAAAGAACTATTACAGGTTAGCAATAAGGAAGGGTCTTATTCATTCCTTGGGAATACTGAAACCTTTGTACTAATATCTTTGTACCTTTATTATGGACTCCAAAAGCATGTGCACCTATACAGATAAAGCAGGTTGGTGAAAATGGTTTTTTAGAATCAAATAGCATTAGATATATCGAAACGCACTTTTGATGAAACATATTTTATCAGATTGGGTTAGAGATAAAAAAAATTAACCCATTCTGAAAGACTATTTTTTTAAATCAAATTTCTGTGTTCCTTTGTCAAATCATTGTCAATAGAAAAACACTGGTCTTGAAGCCTTTTGCTCTTTGTTCGTGTTTATTGCAATCACAAGACCTAAGTAAGGGTACCTTTATAAAAACAGGTGTATATTCTCTACTTGTATTTGATGTAGCGAGGATCAGGCAGTTCCAGACTGTGGACATCCTCGCTACTCTTAATCGGGAGTTAGATTAGTAAAGTGTTTTGCAATGAAAATCGCAAGATTCCTTAGCTTGATGAAACGGGGCATTTCAGGGTTCATTCAGACAGTTCTATTTTAATAAAGCTAAAATTTTCGGGCAAGATCCAAACTTAGCCTGCCTAAACGCTTAACGTCAATGCTGTATTTATATTTCTCGAAAACTCTGAAAAGCCGAAAAGGAGTAGGAATGATAACCCTTTATTGTATCAATCTGGATACAGTGCCAATATAATACGGACGCAGAAAGAAGCTCCTTTACAGGCAACAGTTAAGAAGCACACGACCCAAAATGAAAGCCTTCGTGGAATATTGATGAAGTCGAGGGAAGTCCTAGTAAGGTGTCACTTATGTAACAAACAGATATGGTTTAAGTTTGAAAAGCCGAAAAAGGTGTGTTCGAAAAACCTGTTAGAGAATTGACCGAGGAACACATAATATGGAACACACGAGGTATATAATATGGGACTTTCTTTTTTATTATATGAAACTGGCTGATTGTATGCTCTCCGTACCTTCTATTCTTCATACTTTTGGTCTTCAGATTCTATGTAACATGGAATTTTTGTTTCATCTTCCTTCAAACCCTGCAAAAAGTCTCCTCGTAAGTGGTTCATATTGCAATTTTCAGAAGCTTTCAAACACAAAAATCCCCACCTCAGGGAATGGATGCACCCTCAAACAGCTCGACCTTGAGCTTCCTGTGTCCTTGTTACCAACTTATGCACCAAAATCAACAATGCAAAAGCTTGTTTTGTCCAATAAATCACAAACCACCAATAAAGTTCTTGCACTTTTGATCAATGGTCAATGTTGTCTCAAAAATTGTGCATGTTTCTTCCTATCCACCTTCGCCTCAAATTCAAATCTTGATTACAACCTTGTCGTTATCCCCTTTCTTCTCTATGATCAAAGTTATTATTCAAGTTCTTCACCCGAAAAATCCGCAAAGCTCTTCCTACTTAACACTTCTATATCGACAAGACCTCGCTGTATACCAGCAAAAAAAACGTTTGCCACAAAACTCGCACCAATTCTTGATAAACTTTTTTAGCTTATGTATTCACTTGTTGTATTTTCATCCTTCAGAAAACTAGCCCACGTCCTGCCTATTCCTAAAGAGTGGGGCAAGTCGACCCGCACAACTGTTGTCAATCTCTATCATTTCCTAATATCTTTAACAATGGTGACCATCGTCATTAAAACTCCTTTCTGATCACCGGTATGGTTTTCGCCAAGCGATACCTACTGGTCATCTTCTAGCGTATGTCACTCTTGTTCGAGATACGAACAGCCAAAGTTTAAAATGAAAACGAGACTTGAAAGTGTATTGATGGAACATGCGCAGTACGGTTCAGGAATGCCAGCGTTTTGGAGGGAAAGTTTTTGAAACTTCGGGGGGAAGGGGGTAGGGAATCTAGTAACGATTCTGAAGAAAGGGAACAAAATTTAAATTGACGACGCATTCTTTCAATTGGTCTCTGTACCAGAAAGCTGTCAGTCTGCATATAGATTTAGGCCTGTATTGCAGCAACGCGTAAGAACCAAAGCCGTAAATTACATGAAGAGAAAATCACCCCGTGTAAATCTGTAACACCTTTGGTTGAAAATCGTATTATTTGTTTTGAAAATCTCTGGAGATCTCATGTTTAGTCCCTTGCTCTGGAATCCTTTCATGAGCGTAAAGTGATCTCTCACGACATCTCAAAAGCCTTAATTACGTCTGACACAAAGTTTTATATTCTTAACTAACCGTGAATACTACACCACACTTATAAAAAGGAATGACAGCTTTCTCTCTCATTGGTCCATAGCCTTTAGAGTTGTCGATTATGGACCCATTTCTTCAAATTCTGTTTTAAAAAATTCTGACCTTAGATTTGAATTAAGAGCAGGAGTTTTAGTCTACTTGAAAGTTTTCATTTTGTTAATGCTCACGATACTCATTTTATGACGACATAATGATAAATATTTTTTAAGGGATTTGACAGTGATTCATGCGACGATCGTTCCAACCGGAACTTGTAACTGAAATCTTAACTAAAATTACCTATGAATTAACATACTTATATACATAAATTGATATCTAAATTTAACACGAATCATGTGAGAAAAAACATGATCGGAAGGGCGAGTAAAGCTGAAAAGTAAATTGAATAGCAATACCAGAAATGATGATTACTGCTCACCCTTTTCAAGTGTCTTTGCCAATTTCACGAATGCCCCACAACTCATCCTTCTAGAACCGGTGTCTATATTAATCTAAATTATTAACAAGCTTGACCTTTCCACCCTCTCTTCAAAAAACTGCTCTCCTTTCTTCTTTTCCTCGCATTAACAACTGGCAAAATGCTTTTCTATGAAATCTGTGGCTTTTTTTTCTTAAAAGACTTCTTTGCTCTTCTTGTTGTTGAGGCATTATTAGTATCCTACAGCAACGCCACAGCTTAAACGCATCGATCTTCCCTCTCTCATTTTTCCTGATGTCCTTCAACCGAACCGTACATTATTACAGAGAAAAATTAATACCTTTCCTAAGCATACTTTCGTGTGAATTGACATCTCTTTATCTCTGGTGACTATATGCAGGGGCGAAACTAACCAAAAACTGCCAATCCTGCCTAAAGAAGGTCTGGGGCTGCACCCTAAAGACCCTCGGAAAGGGGGGAGACGCCTTTTCTGGATATGTTGAAATCAAGATTGCAGTAAAACATTTTTCACTGCCACATTTTGGAAAAAGGGGGATCAGGGTTCGGATCTATTCATGTCCCTCCTGCCTTACACTGAAGAAGTCAAACGAACATCACAAAAATCTTTCAGAAATAAGTCATCTTAATTTGTTTTAGGTATCTTATATTTAAGTTCAGCGGTATTACCTCCCATCTGACCTACCAAAGACCGAGCCACAGTTTGCAAGGACAATACAATCTGAGTCACAGAGTACAAAAGCTTCCAGAAATTACCATTGTTTAATAAGGCGTCCTTTTCATCGGGACCTCTGAATTGTATGGTTGTTTTTGTTGAGGCAGGAGACAAACTTCTGAAATTGAGTGATGACGTAACATAAATTTATTTTTAGAATTTTGAACCCATAACCTGAAAAAGCATCATGAAATAGTTCAGAAAATCTAAAAAAAGGTTTTCGGTGACGTCACACTTTGGAGATTCTCTTTCTCGGCGGCGACAAACTTTTTCTACCCTTTATAATAGGCATTGACTTCCTTTGCTTTCTGTAGTCTGAGAGAAAACTATGCCTGTCAGGTTTCTCGCGATGTCTGTGATATTCCTGACGTGAACAGTACATAGGAGAAACAGAATGACTCTACAATATTCGATTTCCATAAACATCACTCGTCTTGAAACAATCGACTCTTGTCTTTAAATCAAGTGATGTCGGTGTAGGCCTTTTTGTTGAGCAAGAGTACTTTCCTAGCCGAAGCTTTCAGCAGCAAAAGCTTCTTCAACAGTTGATTTACGATGTCATCGTTACAGTTAGTTTGATCTATGATATCAAAATAGTTATCACGCTTTCATGGCACTGAAAATTAAATTTCACGATCACGCCCCCCCCCCCTCTCAAGAACCTCTCTGAATTTTAGGAAAGGAGGCTGAGCCCCCTCTACGACACCGCTGCTCTAGCGTTAACTGAATTCATCAGGTTGGTCTTTTTGAGAAATTAAATCTTGATCAACAGCTCCCAAACATCGTATTCTTGAAATTCAGCGTCTTGGTCTTGGTAAATAACATCAGGGTGGCTTTCTATTTTCATTACAAGAGGCTGCCGCGGCAACATGATTCCGGTAATGTTCCTTACCGTTTCATTGTCGTTCTTGCCTGACAGTAGGCTGTTTCTTTTTTTTTTTTTTGCTACGTCACCCATTCTCTCATTTCATTTTCATTTCATTCCATATATATATTTCCTGCAATTAATTACAAATTTGTAATAATATAAAGATGATTTATTAACAGAAAGAATCATAAGATAGAATGGGATTGTTGAAAGGGCCATCAAGGTAATAAAAAAGTGCTGACGGACATATAAAAATAACTCTAAAGAGCTTTTGAGTCGGTGACTTATTTGTATCAACTGAAACAGAACATTAGAGTTACAAGTTAACAGCATGAATAAATTTGGTAAAATGTCAATATGCTAAGAGTAGTATTTCATTTCAGACAGCACAGGCTTGTGGGCAATGCAATTTCGTGAACTTTTTGACCCAAACTTTTCTACTGGGAGATCTTCAATCTTTAAAGTATTCTGCCTGTGGTTTTTGTCAGCAGCGGCCTCGGCATTGGAATCTCTGAAAATATTGAAGATATTTATCTGGTCTTGTACCGAAAACAAAGACTTTCTGCTGCTAAAAAGGTAGGCACTCCATTTCGAAATTTGCTTTTCACGCTCACAGATCACGCGCGAATGTCTATTGACGCATTTAGGCAAAATAAAAGTTTGTTTCACGAATTCTCGCATCGGAAATACGCTGATCGTGCAATCACGCCAAAAGACCTGGTACCCCAATTAAAGGTTTGCTCTCTGGCATCAATGCTTAATGTCTTCGGGGCGACCTTTATATACACAACTCAGCACAACAGTTTGACGATTATTTGGGGGCTCCATCCCCCCTTCCCACGGCCTTGATGTTGTATTTAGATATACAGCATATTTTTTAAAGCCTAAATATACAGCACATTTTTTAAGTAAAACAACCTGTGTCGTCGTTTGTCAACCGTGTGTCAATTCTTTCCTTCAGACGTCTGTGTCTTCCATGGTGGCACAACTGTTTGTGGTGGTAGATTGAAAATATCAAAGAAATCAACAGCACATTGAATGCTTTCATGAAAGCGGTCACGACGTCAAAGAGCTTAGAAAAAATGTTCTGGTGAATCGGATAGAAATCAAATGGTCTTTTGAAATTTTTCTCTCTGACTCTACCCCCGGTTGAAACCAGTGATCTGAAATTCGATATTTGTGACAAGTAAATATTAACATCCTTTGTGCAAGCTGGAAATGTGAAACTCTCTGCAAAACAACAAAGAAGATTAACAATTTACGGGCATTTTTCTTGCGATTTGTACTCAGTTTTTTTATGCTAAAGATTTTCATATCTTGTTGATTTTCATGCTAAAATCTTTAAAGGCTAAATTAAATACTAAAGTTCGAAAGAGGATCCTTTCAGTGAGAAAGATAACATATATAGCACCAAAGAATCTAGCTTGCGTGCAAACTTTACTTTCCGTTGCAAAGGAAAATCAGAAGTCAGGATGGAACTTGTAAAGTCTGCGAATTGAGCTTGGTTTCCACTATTACGTGAGTTAACTTGAGATTCTGTACTGGATTGTTCCGCTTTTTACTAGGTTGTTCCGCTCAATGGCGGCGCCAGCCACTGCAGCCAAAATATTACCCCTCCTCCAACATTTTCTCATCGGATTTAGACGAAATGCAAAATTGATCCTGCCGAGAACTGGGGGGGGGGCTGCCGGGCGCGTGCTTAGCTTCCTGGACGTGTCCCCACCATTCCAACCCCCCCCCCCCCCCCGTGGCGCCGCTACTGGTTCCGCTTGTTCCTCGTTTTAGCAACGGCGGAATGCGCTACCATTTGCTCTTAACGTTCTTACCCGATGCCTGAAATAACATATTGGATCGTTATCCCCTTTAATTTTTTTCCGGTAGCCACTATACCCAAAGCTTTTCGATCTTAAAGCTTGGAAATTTTGCAGCTACGATAGTAAAAAAATCTACCAAAAATTGGCTTGTATCCACCTCCTCGTGATTGCAAAGATTCGACTCGTTAAAAACTGAGTGGCCTTTTTGTAAGTGTTCTGTCCAGCTGAGTACTGAAGACCATCTTTTCCAGCGCGAAATCATTTGTGATCAAAGCTAATTTGATCGGGGTGTTAATCTTGCTTTCAATCAGTAGCTTGTACAACATTAACAGCATTTAGTTGGCTTTTAGCGACATTCCAGAGAAGAACTCTATAGAGATCTGGGAACTACTACACATTCTAAAAACAGCATTCGGGTAGCATTTTGAAGATGGAAGTCAATTTAAATCCTTTACTTTACTTTTTCAAGATGTCAAATTGTTTGTTTGTACAAATTTTCATGCTTTTATCACGATTTGCGCATTCATTCTGCTTATCTCCTATACTATCAAGCATGAAATAGACTTGGACCAAGTCTACATTCGAGGTGGACCTTTCGAATCCAAAGCAGAGGTGATAGGCCTATGCTCACCGATAATTTGTTTCCCTCCACATCATGCTGACAAACGTTCTACAAATAATTCCCAATCCCATGATCATAACCAGTGTTTTCCAGGTTAGTTTTCCAGACTGTGTAGTTTCATATTTTGTGGATTTATCAGCACGCGATGATTGTGCTTGAATTTGATTTGGTCCTTATAATCTGAAACCAGATGCTGATTGGCTAAAAGACAAAAAGTAGACAAAGACGAGATTTATTGCACAAGGTCTCAGAACTCAAAAGTCGACGCTAGTTCGCAGACTTTACAATTCCGTATTGGCTCTCCTTCGAAATGGAAAGTAAAGTCTGCATGCAGGCTACAAAGAATCAAGCACTTTTAATATTTTTTGCCATTTTTATAGCTGGTTGCAAAAGCTCTTCCGATTTTACGTAGACATGCTACTTCTTTGGACAACCTTGAAAGTGCAGACATCTCGACACCTTTCAGATCCTTTTTGTCATTGCGCAGAAACGTCTCGATGGTTGTTAAGAATTTTCAAAAAATCTCCCTGTTTCGAATAATGTTTATGGAGTTATCCCTAGAAATTCTTCTGATCTTGTCAAATGTTGTCAAAATTTTTTCTTGTTCCCCGTAAAAAGAGCGAGGTGTTAATATGTTGCGGCAGGTTTCCTCGAACCCCATAGCCGCTGAGAAGGCCTTAATATTGATCCTACTATTTCCACACAGGTTTCTCACGTCTGCTTCAAATTCTGCATACATAGGACAAGTACATTTAAATCTACTTTCACAATAAAATGTACAAACAAACGCAAAAACGAAAAAGGGAATCATTCCATCAGGTAACTTGAGATAAATGTTTTAAGGTTAGTCATTAGCTTTAAATCTTTCAGCCTAATTTTATGGGGTTATAAATATTCTTAAATCCCCATACCTCGGTACCATACAGGGCCCGCGTCACTAAATTGAAAGAGGGGCAAGGCTAGCAAAAGAAGGGGGCCAAGGCTTCTTTCCTCTTTTGCTGTAGCTTTAAAACTACTTGCTCGCTAAAAGTGGAGGCGGCCATGGCCACCTAGCCCCCCCCCCCCCTCAGTGGCGTGGGCCCTGGCATATGTTAGTGTTACAGGGTGCAACATAAAAAAGATTAGTTTGTGTGTTTGTAGGAATTTGATGTGTTGAATTTGCATTTGATGTGGTATATTTGGATTTGATCTGGTGAATTTCCATTTGATGTGACACTTGTGGGCCACCGTAGTTTCTTGTTTCTTGTCTTTATTTAACAACTTCGGTTGGGGTATACCTTTTGTTAAGGCGACCTTCGATTCTTCTGGCAATGCTCTGTGATTCGGTGAGTGAGAGTATATTTGGAGATATGAAAGTTCTCGTTCAACTCATTGTAAATGACTTCAAATTCAGCTCTGGAGAGTATGAAGTTATTTCTCGATCTAGATCTCCTACTTGAGCGACAGTTAGCATCATATCAACCCACTCAGTGATTCATTTTCCGGATTGAAAACGGGCAGTGGCGAAGCTAGCCAAAAATTGTTGGTCCTGCTATATGGACAGGGCCACGCCCTTATTCAATTGGAAAAGCCTATGGACAAAAATTCTATTTTGCAGATGAATTTTTTCTTAAATTCAGTGAAAAGCAAATTTTAAATCGATGTCTATCTTTTCAAAAATAAACCCATACTTAAAGACGTGCTTTAGGGTGCTTACTTTTCAAACAAATATATGTTAAATTGTAGTAAGCCTCTACAGCTGAAGTAAAAGTTCAAATTGGTGATAATTAAATTTGACGATAAAAGGGGGGTAGGGGTGGCATTTGAAGTTGCATATCATATATTTGTGGTATTCCACACATAATATAAACCTGACCAATCTAGATACTCTATTAAAATAATTTTAATAAACAACAGAGTTTAAAGTCTGTAGGGGCAAGTTCACATATTCTGCAGAACAATTATTCTGCAGCTGATAAAGAGAGGTACAATCGAATAATGTGTCACATTATCAATGAAAACAACTTTATTAGATAAACCATTAGACGAGAAAACAATTCAGGTAGAAAAATGCAAATTCCGCTGAAATTGGTTTATTCTCCAACTCAAAACTTTCAATCACACAACAGTAAATTCAATTATGCTTTCATCGTCCTTGTCCAAGTCTAAGAAAATTTTATTTAGGCCACCATGATATACCGTGCCTCAAACGATCGTACAAAGGCCGAAATCAGAGTGCCTCATACAGCCAATTCTTGTTATTTACATTTCTTTCTTGCGAACTTTGGACTCTGTCTTGTTACAAATAAAATTTATGCAGCTCAACTGAGGCAAGTTTTGCTGTCAATAATAATATCATTGGTATTGCCAAAGCAAGCAGAAAATCCGCATTCACATCGCCTCGCCATAATACTTGAACTGGCCTCCTTGCTAGTATCTCATAGCAGAACGAGAATGCACAGGGCAATTCTTGCAGTCCTGCTCTCAGAAATAGCAGGACCAAAGGTTTTCAAAACAATGCTCTTTGACCTACGTAGGTGAACCCTCGACCAATCAAATCACAACTGCTTACGAAATGTTATGATGGTCATTTCGACGAGGTCCTGCTCCCGAGATTGAGCAGGACTGCTCTTTGTTCTAGACTATTGTGAAGCAGGACTGAATTCACAAAAGCCCATTGTGAAGCAGGACCAAACATAGGGTATCATAGTTATGAGCAGGACCAAAATACAGGGCTGCCGTAGAAGAGAACAGGACCTTGAGATTAGCACGGGATGCCTGTATCAGCTGGCGGAACTGGGGACTGTTTATCAAAAAGAATTTGAAATTTCCTTTTTGCAAAGAAGAAATTGTTTATTGTTTACAGTAAGTCTTATCTTTGGAAATTCTTGGTCCTGCTCAGCAGGACCAGCAGGACCTTTGGCTTCGCCACTGAAAACGGGTTGTCAGCGTAGGGCCTACCCGCCTCGTAATCATTACTCACAGACCGCGTTTAGATTTTTGAATATGAAAAGCCGTGAAAATTTGCGGCTTTGAAGCGTTGTTATATACAATCGACAAATAATTCCGACAAAAACCATCGAATTAATGGGTATTGACTTGACAGAAATTGACAAAAAAATGTCAATTTTTTTCATTTCAAATTATTTCTAATAAAATGTATCATACTACGTAATTCCCTCTTGTTAAAATCCAAAACATAGAAAATTACGATACCTCAAGGGGCATAACAAGTAGAAATAAAAACACCGGAAGTTAGAGTAGTTCAGCACCTTCCCTGTTAGCATTAGTAGTATTTAGAACCCTTTTAGGCTACGTTCACACTACTCCGTATTCGTTTCGCTCCATTTTCGTTGATAAAAACGCTGTCAGTTCACACTAATCCGTTTTCATATGAATATTAGTGTATAAGGAACACCGCAATACGACGAGAATAAACAACAATACCAATACGAATATACGCTGTGAATACTCCAACAAAAACGCTGTTGGTCCCCTCATTTTTGGAAAGAGGCGCTCACGAATCCTCAACAAATTGGCGTCATTATAAATGAAATTAAATAAAAGTAAATCGTGAAAAACTTTGTTGTGACAGCTACCAGTCCATTGTGAATCCTCACTTTCAAAATTTTTGAGAT